CCGGCCCCTGTTTGCTGCGGGTATACTATCTGGCTCCACCACCTCCCACCTCTAGCTTTAGGAAAAACATTCCTCAAACCATGCTTACCTCTAAACCCCACAGCAATTAACACAGAAGAGGACTGACTTCTGTGACCACAGGTGGTGTTTCTCCCCACATCTAGCAGTGGGCACCAACTGGGTGTCCTCTCATTCATTCCCAATGCTGTCTACCCAGAGATAGTGTCAGGTCCCTCAAGATGGGGTTCTCACGACCCCTTCCCTCTTTGAGTTTGATAATTTTTCTGCTCACAGAACTCAGGGATCACTTATTTGCATGTACTAATTTATTGTAATGTATATTACAAAGGTTGTATAGGAGAAGAGATGGGCAGGGTGAGATGTGGGGGAAGGGGCACGGAGTTTCTTTACCCTCCCTGGGAACCAACCACCCTCTGGGAAGTCTTTGTGTTCAGATGTCTGGAAGCTCCCCAGACTTGGTCTTCTTGGGTTTTTATGGAGGTGTCATTATAGAGACAGGATTGACAGCCATGCAGAAATGTGGCTGGGCAAAAAGCCCAGGATGTAAACCCAGCAAGGCCTGCCTGCTCAGCCTCTTCCTGCCTCCCTGTGTTGTATTCCTTCCTCCAGGTCATGGCAGGGCCCTTTTTGAATGGGAGTCTTTTGACCCACAAGCAGATTAGAGTTCCACCTTGGTAGGTGAAAGGAGGACAAGAGAGGGAGTTTCTGTCTCCTGAGGCCTCAAGCGTCCCAACGTTGTAATGAGGAGTCAGGGAGTCAGGAAACTCCGTAGGGACCGTAGATAAAAGCCAGTATACATACATCATACCACCACAACATACAACGACATGGGAGGTGAATTCCTTTAGAATTCCAAATAAAAAAGATACACAGTAGCTCCTGACTTTTAGCCAGAGGCAAAACTATCCCTCCATCTCCAGGTAAACCCAATGCGTTCTCTAGTTTTGAAAGAGTCTTGTCTTCTCGCTTCAGTGACACTAGTGAGACTTCTCAAATGTCATCTTTAAAAATGTGCATTACCCAATTTAGTTGGGAACTTGAACCCAAAGGTCAGGGCCAGCCATCAGTGGCTTTGGAATCTCTGGGTGATGCCGTGTCCAGCTAGGGTCAGCCAAGCTCCACGCTCCTCCTTCCCTTGCCCCTCAGGGGAGGGGGGTGAGGAGGGGGGTGCCGAGGAGGGGGCACCTGAGCTGCTTAGTCCCCCAGGCACAGGCAGGTTCCAGTTCTTCTGGCTTTGGAGATCATTCATTCAGATCTTTGAGTAGGCTCACGAGGTCTTTATTCCTCAGATAACCCCTCTGTGTGTGGTTCTCCGGAAATATGTGGCCCCTCTTTCTGCCTCCTGTTAGGTGAATACAGTCATTTAAAAGGGGAGGCACTCAGGTAAGGTAGGAGTGAAGGGGATGGCTAGGGCAGGTTGGGAAGAAGTAATTTGGGGGGTAGATGGGACTTTCTGCTGCCCCTGAAAATTATACTGGACGATGAGGGCCTGGCTCTTCTGAGGATAAAATTTGATGTAAGAATTTTTTTTTTAAATGTGCAATAGAAATATTTAAAAGCTGAAAGTATAGAATTGCATTGACAGGTAAATGCAGATAGAAAGGACATATAAAAACCAAACTGTCTTTCCAAAGGGATTTGATAAACATTGGTTTTCTTACCAGTGTTCCTCTGAATGCAGCGAGGGTATTTAAAAAGAGAGATGAAAGACTTGGGTCTTGGACATTTGAACAATTAAGTAGGGAGTCAGAGCACTTACTTTCCCCTCAAAACAACATGTCCATGATAAACTGTGATGAGGAAGTAATGCTCCTGTAACCTTTTCCTTTAGTGATTTATCTCTCTAATTCCAGCAGATGAAAGATGACTTTGTGCCTGGGGAGAGCGAGCAGATCAGATTAATTTGTGCCACCACAGCGCTGCTCTATTATCCATCCTTGGAGAGTTTTGCAATCAAGATGCTTTTAGCAGACACGCAGTGGAAAGGCCGCTCCTCTTGTGGGAGCTAAGCTTTGCCCTCTGAGTGTCTCTGCACTGCCTGGGCAGCGGGCCTCTTTTTTCCTGCTTCACCCTCACCGTTCCTGTCCTGACTGCACAACAGACAGGTGTGGCCCATGGTGAGCAGCCAGCTGCAGCCCCCAGAACCCCGCACACAGGGCGTCTTCCCCTCTAAATGGGTGCTCACTCTAGGAGACCTTCAATTGTCGCCTTTTTGTGGGTTGTTCCCGCCCTTCGCCTGATCAGTGTCAAGCATGCATTTTCTTTTAAGAGTGGTTTTTTTTTTTTTTTTTAACAGTGACATTGCATTATGGCCACCTTAAAAAACTATTTTTAAAAAAAGCACTTAATTGGGCTGCGCCTGTGGCTCAGTGTGTAAGGGTACCGGCCCCATATACTGAGGGTGGCGGGTTCAAACCCGGCTCCAGCCAAACTGCAACAATAACAACAACAAAAATAGTCGGACGTTGTGGCTGGTGCCTGTGGTCCCAGCTACTCGGGAGGCTGAGGCAAGTGAATCGCCTAAGCCCAGGAGTTGGAGGTTGCTGTGAGCTGTGTGATGCCGTGGCACTCTACTGAGGGGACTCTGTAGGGAACTCTGCCTCTACCAAAAAAAAAAAAAAAGCACTTATTCATCCCTGATTCCATTTCCCTAACATACCCATATCTTCATCCTCTGGGGGTATGTGTGTGTCTATATATGTGTGTATGTTTATGTATGTATAGGTGTATTTATTTTCATATGTGTGTTTATGCATGGATAGGTGTATGTATATGTGTGTGTTCACATAAGATTAGATGTATGTATATTTATGTATAGATGTATGTCCATTTGTGTGTGTTTAGATGTATGTATATTTGTACATGTGCTTAAGTATGTTTAGATGCATGTACATTTTTGTGTTTACATATGCATAGATGTATGTATGTGTGTTTGTGTACTGCAGATGTCTGCACATTTACGCGTGTTTATGTACACATAGATGTATATTTATGTGTGTGACATTTTTCTGTCACTGTGTGAAAAATCTTGGCCTCTGCTCTAACTGCCTTTCTGCTCCTGATCTGTCAACGGGTATGGTGTGGTGGGAGGAAAGGGGGCTGGGGGGTCAGGTATGAGTCCTGGCTCTGTCACAGGGTGGGGTGTCCGTGCGCGAGACCCTCGTCTGTCCGTCCGTCGTCCTCCTGCCTCCCTGGCTCTGTCCTGTGCACGGGCCCCACTGTGAGCTTACGGCTGTCTGGCTGCAGAGCTGTGCGATGTTTTCCCACCCCTGAGGTACGGAAACTGAAGCTTCTTAAGTATTGCTGTTATGAGGATTCATTTTGCTAATGCCTGCGAGGGGGGCGAACACAATAACAACCCAGCACAGAGGAAGATGCCCGGGAAATGGAACTCTCTGGTCAGCCGGCCTATCTCATCAGTTCTTCTGAAATTTCCATGACGTCTGCTACTTCCCTTTCTTAGTAGCCTGAATAATAAAGGGCAATTACGTTCATGCCTAGACTATGCAGGAGGTTTCTAACTGGGCCTTATGGCCCTAAATCCATTTTCCATTAAATTCTTCCTATCACCAACATGCACATTTCCAAAGCCTTGCTTTTGTCCCTGTTGCTCTTAGTTCAGCATCTTTGGGTAACTTTTGAGGCTCATCACATATATTCTGAATTTCCCACTGGGCCCTCCAGGCCCTGGAAGGACTCTCTCAGCGGGGCCTCTCCTGTGGGGATTTCAGCTCTCAGCAAACCTGCATCCTTTCCCACCTACGGCAAGGAGGCGCCCTCTTTGGTCTTCATCTTCTAACACGCGTGCAGGGAGTTGGATTCTCATTGATGAGAAGAAAACAGCCCATGAGCCTAGAATTTGGAAAGTTCTAGCCTTCCTGTGTGTCTTTATCTGTTTGTCCTGCTCCAGCGGAATACCTGAGACCGAGCCATTCGTTAATATAAAGAACAGAGGCCTTTTCTCACTGTTTTGGGAGAAGGTAAAGAGACAAAATGGGGTCAGACTCAACCTTTGTAATGGCATTAATTCTGCTTGTGAAGGCAAAGCCTTCCTGGCCCCGTCACCATCACCTCCCAAAGGTCCTATCTCCTGACACCACTGCAGTGGTAACCAAATCTCAGCTTGGGTGTTGGAGGGAACAAACAGGACCGTAACAGGCAGAAATGTCTGGTAATTTCTGAGGATATACTGCTTTTTTATATGTCGTTATATTCAACGAACAACTGTAGAGTGGTATGCGATGCCATTTGGAGCTAAATTCCTAGCTTTCAAGGAAAGACTAACTAGGTCTTATTATTATAATATTATTAGTAGTAGTATTAGTATTAGTATCTTCTCCATTATACTATCCATAAAAACCTCTTAGGGAATGACTCGTTAATTTTTGTAATAATTATTTTATTGATCTTTAATATTATTTATTTATCAAATCCATGCTGAGCTTAAAAAATATTTGCTGTACAGTAGATTTTGCTAGATTTGTGCAGGGACTTTCCTGCCTGGTGACAGCATCTGTAAGCACATTTAGGGAGTCTCATATAATATTTATAATCAGCTATTCTCTTTGCATTTATATTTTATTTTACCCATAGACTAGAGGGTTTATATGCCTCTGTGTGTGTGTGTTTTGGTAGATAGGACGGTACAAAGTGTTTTAAGTTCTGATTCCTGTGTTCTACCATGGAAAACTCTTTCAGGCTCTGCCTCTCCTCTCCCTCAGCTTTAGAGAGGAGAAGCCACAGTTTAGACCCCCTTGGCCCCCGTCAGTGCCTGCATTTTGTGACTCTATTATCTGTGAGTCTGATTGATATCGACTGTTGCTGATTCTCAAGCGAAATGCCTTCGGATTGCTGTTTATGAGATTTTATCTGTCAGGAAAATCAATTGACTTCTGACAGCGAGTAACCCTGTTTGGAAAACAAAGCTTGCATATTAAATCACGACTATCCTAATTTTAGTTTTCTCTTCTCTCCTCCAGTTTGCTGTTTTGTGGTTCACAAGAGGTGCCATGAATTTGTTACGTTTTCCTGCCCGGGTGCGGATAAGGGCCCTGACACTGATGTAAGTAGCCTGGAAACCACCCCTTGGTATTAGTGTCGATCTCCGAGCTTTAATTTTTTTAAATGCCTGTACTACTGTTGTTTTGGCACAAACTCCTGATGGAAAGGCCCAATTAGTCTCCTATCACTTTGGCTTGTACAAAAGAACAGATTTATAGTTCTTTCCATCGCTGGACTGCTTGTGTGCCCTCTCCCTGGGCAGCCACCTCGACTAAATCCACCAGATTTATAGCAGTCGCTTCCACAAACACAGTGAGGTTGCTGACAAATTTCACAGCACACATAAATCACCCTTTAGTTTATTTCTAAAGGTTTATTAACACGTAGGGCCATCATTGCTTTTGACCAATGCAACAAGCTGCTCCCAGTTCATCTCACGAGATCCGGGCTGCTTTTTCATTATGTATTATAAATGTTCGTGTTGACTGAAATAATCTAGCATCTGTTTCACTGAACAATGAGCTCTGAAGCTGCCCATGTGTGAACACATAATTTCGTTTATTTGTTTTCTAATTGTGCCCATCTCTATGGAGCATCTCTGTTGCATGTCTTGTTTCGTGAGCGGAGGCCTGGGAAATACCAATATCTCAAATATATCGGGTGGAAAGAAACTTCAGCTGTTACATGAAAAGTAATATTTTTAACTGGAAAAAATGAAGCTTTGCAAGGTAGGCCTGGAAGAGTGGGCATTTCTATTCCAAGCTGCTTTTGCCAGAGCGGTTTGGTCACTCGTCCCTAAGAGTCACACGTTTCCACCTTTAGTGCTTGTTCCCAACAGGGAACTTTGATTTCAGAGTGGCCCCCTCAGTGCAGGCAGGGCTAAGTCTTCCTTCTCAGAAGATGACGTTTTCACAGTCGGCTGTGAAGGATTCAGATTTGCATTGTTGTAACACGCATGGTGAAGGAACTTACCATTTCATGCTTGGTGTATGGGAGCGTGCCACGATGGGGTTGAGATGCTGGTGGAGGTGATGTCACATGGGTGCTGTGGGTGCTGAACCACCCTGGGTTCCCCCAAAGGCTTGCAGAACGCAGGAGCCAGAGGGAAGCTCCAGGGTCGTCTTGTTTTGTATCTTCAGGGATGAGGAAGCACAGACCCATGAATGTCGACTGACCTCCCCACATACAAACAAAACTAGTTAATGTCATTCCTTCCCCACCCGCTTCCACTTTTCATACTTCTCTTCCTTCTAAAGTACTGTCTCCATTTGGGTCATTCTAGAGGAAGAAATTAGAGGGGCCATAAAGTACCAAGTTGTTAAAACACACAGGTCTCATTAGTCCGGTTTGAAGTTGTCCTGAAGCCGCAGCCCCTTTACTTGCTTGCTCATAATTCCCATCTTTATCTTTGCTCATTTATCTCCCCTTCCTCCTACCCTATCTCTACCCCATCAAGAGAGTGGGAGGGAGAGGGGGGTAGGCTGCAGGATGTGAATCTTTTCTGTCTGACCCATTCCTCCTCCTTTTTTCTCCTCCTACTTATTTGTTCTTCCGGCTGTGTATTCTTCGTTGAGAATCTATGACAGGCCAAACTCTGTGCTGGGTCCTGTACAAGACTAAACGAAGGGATTGCTTCTTGCCCTCCTGGACATTCTGCTAGGGGAAGATAGACATTTGAAAAAGTCACTAATTAAACTAGGGAGCAGGTGCATGAAGAGGTTTATGTAAGGGACCTACTCTGGGTGGTCAGGGAAGGCTTCCTGGGAAAACAACATGCAAACTAAGATTTAAGGCTGCCTTGTACTAACCGTGTGTTACCTATTTATAGGCAATATCAAAAACGTACAGAGACTGCATAACAAGTTCATAGATGTGATCAGAGAATCAGCCCCTGTGGGGCATCACCACATCAGCATCACACTCAGGTGTCCGACCTACTTCTCCAGCCGCCCTTGCGTGGTATCCTGGCTCCTTGGTCCTCCTCTCTCATACAACATGGGGGAGCTCCTTTGAATTTTCTCTTTGGACCTAACCCTTCTCTCCTTACTCTGAACTCCCTCTCTCAGCAAGATCAAAGTCCTGATTTATGCCCACTTTGGGTCAGTCGATGCCTCTTAATTATTTCTAATAGCCCCTCCTGTGCCAGAATGTTTATCCTATTTGAATGGTCATTATGTGGTCACCCTACTCCAGTGGTTCTCAACCTGTGGGTTGCGACCCACGGGAACTGTACAAAAGGGCCACGGCATTAGGAAGGTTGAGAACCACTGCCCGACTCAGAGAACCCAGAGCTAGGCAGAAAGCTTCATTGAAGACCTACCTGGGGTGGAAGATAACTGAGACCTCCCATGATCTGATGTGCAGCTAGAATCTCTTCCTACTTTCCTAATCAATTTCTGTTGTATTGATTTTCTGTAGGCACTGAGTCTCATACTTAATAGCCTTCAAAGTGAAGATGATAAGGGATGATTTTTCTTTTTTTAATATGAGAAAGAAAAAGTACATGAGATATTAAATCCAGTCTTTCCTATCTGGTTCATAAAGGATTCCCCATCCATTCTCCTCCAAGGTCTTTGTAAGTAAGAGACCTATGATGAGGACCTTCTGCGGCCAGGGCTTGTGAACATGTCATGTATCTGTGTGCAAGATGATGTGACTTATTATGCAAATCTACAAAGTAAGTCTAGGGAAGGCACAAGACAGCCAGACCAACCTGCACCAGGGCGGTAGCAAGGAAAGCACAGAGGTATCAGAAGACAGCTGAGCGGAGCTGGTAGGATTTTCTTGTTTCTAAGAAGATTTCTGCATAAGATTTCTCTAAAATTTCTAGAGTCATCGATCCAGAAGGGGTATTAAGGGTTTGCCTTTAGGCTAACTTTCTTATTTGTAGACAAGGAGAGAGGGAAGCATATTGGAGAAAGGCCCAGGTGGTCTGGGTACCATCATATGTTGTCTCTCGAGTGTCCAGTGGGAAGGAAGGGGCCGGGAAGGGGAAAAGAGCTTGGTGGGATTGTTGGGGCACGTTGGTAGTTATTGCTTGATGGACTTGTTGAAAGTTCTGGTCAAATGTTTAGAGAAGTGTGGAGAGGCCCAAGAAAGACTAGTGAAAAGAATAGAAGATTCAGGAAAAATGAATCAAACTTAAGAGAAAAAACCTGCCTCACGCATTTATTCCCCTGAAAAAAAAATGCAATTTTTTTTTTATTTTTCCAAAAATATTTATTTATTTAGAGATAGAGTCTCACTCTTTTGTCTAGGCTAGAGTGCCGTGGCATCAGCCTAGCTCACAGCAACCTCAGACTCCTGGGCTCAAGTGATTCTTCTGCTTCAGCGTCTGATTAGCTGGAACTACAGGTGTCCACTACATTGTCTGGCTAATTCTTCTATTTTTAGTAGGGATGGGATTTGGCTTTTACTTAGGCTGGTCTCAAGCTCCTGAGCTCAAGGGATCTTCCTGTCTTGGCCTCCCAGAGAACTAGGATTACAAGCGTGAACCACCACGCCTGGCCTAAAATTTTTAAATTCAGATGTTCTTCATGCCATAGGGCATGGTTAAGATGGACTGCATGTGCTCCTTGGTCATGCTTCATCGAGCTCAGCAGACTCCAAGGCATTCACAGATGAGGAAGAAGTTACAAGCCTTGTGAAATCCACTATTATTATATGTGTTCTGCCATCTTCAACATGAAAGAAAAGAAAAATTACCCCAAAATAAAATAGCACCCAGATTACAGTACCAGATGGGAAGACATTAAAATTTCTTTCGGACAGAGGCACTCTTCAAGTCTCAGGCAGTGGTCATGGTTGAGAGCATGCATTAGTGCAGGGAATCCTGAGAAAGAAGGGCCTCTGGGTTCAGTGGAGGACGCCCTGAAGTTGCTCAGGCCAGTTTCTCAGTCCGCCTCTCCCCCTGCTGGGTAAGCCAGGCTCTTTTGCCAGGCATTCCATACCACGAGGTCTACTTGGAAAAGTGAAGCATTTCCTGGACCTTAAGCACAAAGGAGAATGGAAGATTTTAAAGAACCTGATCTTAGTTCACTTCCGCCACATGTATTTGGAACCAGGGCTCGAGCTAGACAGCTTGGACTCTGGTATGTGGCACATAGAACGGGCAGCCCTGTTCCTCCTGAGGGTTGGAAAGCTGCTTTGAGTGAGTGCAGGGCTTGTGTTTCCAGACGTGGAGCCACAGAACACAGCCTGGGTCTGCCCAGTTCCTCTCCCTGTGTCTGAGGTTTCAGAAGATGACAGTGTAACAAAGATGAAGGTGGCCCATGTTTAGAAATGGCTTCCTCGCTCCTTCTGCCAAATTCAGGTGTGGATGAGGACTTGGAAGGGGAAAGATGCCTTGTCTGGCTTTGGGTGGTGGGAGCAGTGAGTGTGACTCTGCTAAAGAGCCCCAAGTGCTAACATTTCTTTCTTTGGCTGACATTGGTTGCTTCTCCTGCTGGTTTCTCTTCTCTCTCTGGCCACAATGAGGGTGGCAGACTGGGATAGTGCATCCTGCAGGGCTGGCTTCTCTGGTCATTGTTGTACCTTGTCTGGAAGACAGCCAGCATGTCTACAGGTGGCCTCGCAAGCTTGCTGATGACTGCCAGAGTGTTTGGAAAACCACCAAATGAAGAAATTAACTTGCTAAAAGCTGTGGCGGCATGCTTTAGATCTGGGTACACCTTTAAGTGCCTGAAGATCATAAAACTGATCCCTTGGAAGAAGCTGAGAACATTGACTGTAAACACTTTAGAATAAAAAATGGAAACCATTGCACAAATTGCTACAGAGCAAAAGTGAAATCACAGGTAAAGCTGGACCCTGCTTTGGACCCTGCTCTGGACCCTGCAGAGGACTGTATGTCCAGAAAATTGCTTATCATTTCCTTTTTTTTTTTTTTTAAGACAGAGTCTCACTATGTCTTCCTCAGTAGAGTGCCATGGCATCACAGCTCACAGCAACCTCAAATTCTTAGGTTTAAGTGATTCTCTTGCCTCAGCCTCCCAAGTAACTGGGACTACAGGTGCCCGCCACAATGCCTGGCTATTTTTTTTTGTTGTGATTGTCATTGTT